ATGTCTTATCAGTGGAATAGGCGCCGATTGTGGAAACGGGTTGCCATTCACGAGTGTCGTGTATAAGTGTCAATGGCGACTTGCCCAGGAAGAAATCCCTTACGTCTCTTGAGCGATCAAGGCCGACTGGTATGTCACCACCTAGTTTCATACGGAACTAAGTTGGTTAGTCTTGGTAGTCTTGCACGACGTCGAACATTCATCAGACTAAACTCACAAGCAAACGGGGGCTATCAATGTAACCACCCTTGGCCGGTAACATTCGCACACCCAGTGCGGCAACAGAGTCACTTTTCGAAACGGGAAAATATACCCAAGTGGCCCATTTCTGATTGTGAGGTGACAGGCGTTGATGTGTTGACTGCGCGCAAGGAGTTTCCAGCGTATGAGGATGGATGGCAAAGATCTTGCCGTCGGCGAAGAAGAAAGTGATACCGGTTACTTTGCTCAACTCAATTGTTCTGAACTGCGTGCGGTCGGTGATGTTTTGTGGATAAAAACGGCATTCCTCACGGTGAGGAGGGGTTGGCATATCCCAAATCTGAAGCCCAGAATGAGGAAACTTCAAGCGCAAAAGTCCAAACTAAGGGCATGCCGGCGTCAGTCTTACAGTGGTTTTTTCCATGTGTATTTGTTTGGGGAGGGATATTTACCTTGAAGTGTGCGATGATGCCCCCGAGATGCACCCGGTGCAGGACGACGTATACATAGGTATTCGTCCGCCATGTTGTGAAACGGGGCTGCTCAGGCAGTTGTTCGACTTTTTTGATTCCCCGTGCATCAATTGTCATACGGATGATTGGCAGTCGAGAGGTGGTGTCACCGATGTCAGCGATTACCGGTTGACAACCGCGATCCCACGACAAGAGCGTGGACAGATGGATTGTCAGGAGTTGATCTGAGGAAGCAGCAGGCAGTCGATGAGGAAGTGCAGACGCTGCAGTGAACCGCCAGAGTGGACTGGCCGCCGAAAACTCATGAATGATCTGGATTACTTCCAAGGGAAGCGACTTCATCTTCATTAGTGGGTAACCCAGGTTGTCAAACATCAAGACATTTGGTGTGAAGTTCTTTTCTTCAAGGCGAAAGTTGGGAGCTTGACGCCATGGAGTCCTCCAGGCAGAGAGAACCCACAAGTGGTCCCAATAGCTGCGCCCATCCTCGCTCCAATGGTTGTCCAACTTGTATTTACTTTTCACGAATTCGACGCAGTCTGTGTGCACTGTCGAGACCTCCCTTGCGGCACAACAGTCGCTACAGTCCGGTATTCGGCATAGGCGTGTGTCGTCCCTGTTTTGAAAATGGCGTTTGTAACTAGGGAAGCCATCCAGACTGATGGCTTTGTAGAAGGCGTTTGAGTCTTCGTTACCGATGACTATTGGTTGTTTTTTTTGCATTAGAATGGCGAGACTTAGATGGAAGGGATGAACCATCTGTGGACTTACGCAAGACACATTTGTCGTCGACTTCCATCGCCCTGCCACAGATACCGCAATCTGGCCGGACGCCAACATGGCCACCCGACGGTGCAGGTGACCATGTTGGAATTGACAGTTCGTGTTCACAAAGATTCCGAACCATTGTCGCTTGGATTGGGGGAATTGCGCAAGCTAGGGTTGTCACGGCGTTGAACGTAGCGTAGTGCCAGGAATGTAGGTGTGCTTGATTCCTCTGTATCTCTGCTGCCGACCCCCGCTCCTGCAAGGTTTTCGGTCCTATTTATTCCCCCTGCAAATACATAAGTCCTAGACCCCCCTAACAGCGTATTCATAGACACGGTTGACTACAATTGCAGCACAAGAAAGGCGGGAGCTTATGCGTGTAGTGGCTCTTAACGAGGATATGCAAATACCGGCAAAGGGCATGCCCCGTCTTTGCAATTTAATTGGGTCTTGTCTTTTAACTAGGATTATTATTGGATGGAGGGTTTCAGTCTGGCTGGCTGATAAGGAAGAGGCGGGAAAAGAGGAGGGTACCCGAAAAGAGGAGGGTACCCGAAAAGAGGAGGGTACCTGAAAAGAGGGGGCGGGACGGAGGAGAGAACTTGAGAAGAAATCAACCCACCTTGACTGTCTGCTCAGTTCGTCGCGGATGGGCTTGATATCTACTTCCACGTTGAGTTTATTCTCCGCAACGGGACTAATTTTACGACTCCACGATCTCCCTCAGGGATCGATCTCGGGGATCGCGGGTATCGCCCGAGGGAGCAGCTCCAAGGGGACTCGATTTTAGTGCGGGCCTTGCGGGCCCAGGCTAGCCACTAGCCGTGCCAACCTGGACACGAGGAACCTGGACACGAGGAACCTGGACACGAGGCCGATCCGTGGGGCAGCCCTACTACGTAGTACGTGCCTGGAGGGGATCACACTTATCTCGACCCCACAAACATTAAATATTCCTGGCGATGAGGAACCACACACGCATCCTTGCCTCTGCTCTGGGATAGACCCGGGCTGGGAGGCCGTTTGCTTCCGTGTTCCCCGGTGATCCGAGCCTCCTTTTGCCCGGCCGGGTAGCTACGTTCAGTAATTTGGCGGATATTCCGAACGGGGCGAGCCGCGATGCGGGCCTTGTCCAGAAAGGCAGACCGCTTCGGCGTCTTATCTCCTACCTAAGGTAGGGGGTAACGCTTGTGGGGTAGCGTAGTATTCGCTTATATCTAAGTGATACCGAGTTTTCTATTGTAGCTCAGCTACAGATCAAGTATCTGCTAAATGAGCTGATACCAGCTTAAACCTGATTTGTCCATGTCGCTCCACAGGCCTTACCGCTACTTTGGAGATTGCCGAGCGGTGGGGCATGATCGGCAGGGGTGTGCCCCATCAGGCCAACCAGGGCATGATCGACAGAGAGCTGTGCCCCATCAGGCAAACCGGGCTTGATCCTTTACATCCATTCCTTTCCATTGCTTCTTTCTGGCCGGAGACGACATGTCGAGGGATGAGAGGTCTGTTGTGACTGTTGTGACGTAGCAGAAGGGCGCGAGGAGTGATGGAGAAACATCTCTCCGGCGCCGTAGCTCGTCCAATCGGCGGAATGATGGCAAATCATCGGCAAAGGAATTTCGCCGACCCGACACCTTAAATAAGTGGCCTGAGCGAGCGGGGAAGCTGACGACTCCATCCTCGCCTCCGCACTCACACCACCCGCCAACACAAACTCAAGCTAGGTGAGCAACCCCAGACGAGCTTGATCCAATTTGAGTACGAGCTAACCAAGGCATCGCCACCAGTCTGCTTCGCATCCCAGTTTAAACTCGACGAGTCCGTGCTCACCAACTCTCGCCCCTGTTTCTCCCCTGTTGCCCCCACGGCTTCTCTCCAACCACTACAATGGCCGGCCGCCCCCTCTTCCGTGCCCCCACCACGGGTTCCGCCGCCAAACTGACCGAAGACATTCATGATATGCCGGAAAGCCGCTTTGAAGCTGTTATCGCAAGCTCCTTCAAGAAGACCGATGAGCAGACGCGCCAGACCATCACTGTCGAGGTCACCAACATCGTCGAGCTGCCCCTACTCTCTTTCGAGGTGGGAGACTGCGAGGAAGCAGCAAACTACGACCCTAAGTCACCCGACGCTAACGTGAAGCTCTGGACCGATTCCAAAGGTGAAGTGCGGGTCATCGAGCTCCCGAACCATGCCCTCGTCGATCCTCTCAAAACCTTCTACGAGATCGGCCGCTCTGTTGACGCCAACTATGTTGCCTTCGACTTGGCGTCGATAGGGGGGGGCCCACTCAAGGTTGTGGCCGAGCTCCTTGCTTCGGTATGTATTGCCCACTATTCGTTGGTCGCACACTGACAGCTCTAGGCCGAGACACATCACAAGGAAATTCTTGATCACCTGAAGAGATTCACTTTACTCGCTGGTAAGTTCGCTGTCTTTCGCACGAGCATCATGCTGACAACCAAAGTCATGAAAACAGGGACGGCGGAACGCACCGACGCCGGCCGTGAGAAGGACCCCGTCATTGACGAACCCGGACATCGCCTGGACGGCAAAGCAGTCATCTCCAGGCCCCTGCAACGACAAACCGACATACTCTTGTCGCTGCACCTCGTAGTCGCCCAGAGAACGCTGGAAGCCTCATTCCTCCAACTCTTGGCCGATCCAAAGCAAGACAACTGGGAAGCCTGCCTTCTTGTTGTTCTTGCTTTGTGTCAGCTGCACGACATCTATCACCAAGACTGTAAAAGACGGGCCGAGGAGAACGCCGACCCTGTAAGTCAATCCGTTCCGTAGGCTTCGATGGGGCTAACGCTTCTTACCAGACACTCGAGAGCCTTCCTTGGCTACTGGAGGCTGTTGATGGCGTCTTCAAGCTTAGCCTGAAGTTGGAGGATGCCCGCACAAAGCTGCCGCAGCCCGACAGAGCTGTTCAACTTTGTCTGCCAAGTATCCAGAGGTGGTGCACACCGAGGACGTCGACGCCCGTCAAGTTCGCGTATGACTGGTTCCTGGTGCAGGGGGTTGCACAAGGCAAGTGATTTGGAGGGCTCGGTGTGATGGTGATGGTGAAATTGTCTTCTGATCCTGTTTGTCAAAATTGGGAGGAAAAAAAATGTTGGCGTCTTGGAAAACATGGTTGGAATTGATACAAAAAGTTTGCATCTTAGAGAATATGGCTCAGATTAATACAAATAGTTCTCGTCTTGGAAAGCACGGCTCAAATTGATCAAATGTCCTTTTACCGCGAGAGGTCAGTGAAAAAAGGATGCTCCGTTGATGGAGTCTCCTCGTCACCATTGCAGTGATAATCTCCTCGAGGGCCTTGGCGCTGCAGTGCCCGAGTAGAGAAATGGACCCCATGGATTCTGGCGCACACCATGGCTTCGTTTCCACTCCGGTCATCACACATTCAGCCTGCGTCGTCAGGTGCCCTCAACATGGACACCCTACTCCTCTCGGCCTGCATCATATCTTGCAAAATGGTGCGTAATACAGCAGCCTGATCCTCCGTCAATTAGGCCATATCGGGAGTAGTCCAGTTCTCAAGGAGTCGATAATGGGAGCTTGGTATTTGATCGACTCCTTGCCTGGTAGTGAATATTGTACATCCGGTGACTCCAAGGGATGGCAATATAGGTGTGAGATGGTGTTGGACTGATGTATTGCCTCCATAGCGTGATGATACGCACATTGGCGAGTGGCAGCCTTGATGCCATTGCATCTGTCGCCTTCATTTGTCTTGTCCTTCAAAAGAGACACGACAGCAACAAGCTCTAGAGCCTTGTCAAGAAGTGGTTCAACTTCCGGGCGTCATGATCGCTTCCGATTACCAGACATCGATCAACCACGTCCTTGAAGCTGATAACACAGGATGTGGCAGGATCGGTCTGGGCAATGCTGGCCTTGAATGATAGAGCACTAGCCGCCATTATGCTGTTCCCTCCCCTTCCATGCGGGAGCACCAATGTTGGGATCGAATCCTTCGGCCTCACTGGAGAAGCTTGGCTGCGGGAATTCTTCAGAGGGATGGGTCCCGCCTGCGACGAAAGTCTATGGTAGCGGGAGGTGGTATCGGACTTTCTCGAGATACTTTTGCGACGCGGCACCGACGTCTTCGAGCCGGTGGTCTGGCGGATCTCCCATGGAACACCACTTTCGCCATAGTACCACCCATTGCTTACCTATTCATGGTGTTTCTGAGGCAGAACGACCGGATCGTGGCAACACACATCGTGGACTAGACGGGATGACGCCGTCGGCAATGGTGGAAACTGAAGCCACGTTGCAAAGGGAGCTCGCAGTAATATTTATTGTATCCGGAAGTCATAGCACGGTAGACATTGCACGCAGGGACCTAAATTAATACTCCCTCTTCATGGCGTCAATGGCATCCCTAAGCTCGTGAGGCAGCTTCAGCAAGTGGTCCCTTTCGACGACGTGATCACCATGACGAAGACCCCTCTCGTCTCCATTGATGAAGCCAACATCGAATCTACCAGGGATACAAGGCTGCCCCAAGGAAGATTCCGCGACAGTGTGATTCCCGGAGACAAGGGTGAATCGGACTCGGTCGCCTCTGGTCGCGAAAATCTCTGGAGGATCAAAGATCAAAGCACCGCCTGGGCCTACCTGGGAGACTCCGCATTTGACGGCATCGAAAAGGCGATGATGATGTTTGGCGATGGCAAGAAACGCTTGGATTTGACTGCCGACACTGTGTCTGGCAGCTATACCAACGGTTGGAGATCCCCAAGCCATACCTGACTGTGCGAATTCTGCGGTCGTAAAGAGACATCGACATCCCATATCTACTTCGACTTGCCAGCATAAGCGTTCCAAGCCGGCTTCTTGTCCACCTTGGCTGCGGACATAGTTCGCACAAGCGGCGAACCGATCGACTGAGTGGTTTTGAGCTTGTCTTTTCCGCAATTGCATTTGTTCAGCGTCAAATTTTTGACGGTGTCCTGGAGAGCAGCAATGCTTTCCTTGGCAGAGGCCAGATCCTCAGCGAGAGTCTTATCGGCCTCGATTAGCGGCTCGAGTTCCTTTTGGTTGCAGTAGCGCTTGGGAAGGTCGGCAAGTCTGGTCTCGAGGTTTCTCTGATTCTTGTCCACGCGTTCGAAATTGCCTGGCAGCTCCACAATACTTAAGAACGGGTTAGTTCAAGTGCACACAGAAAGCTGAGCGGACGGCAGACGTACGTTTTTTCAAGACCTGGAACTCTCGCGGCAAGACGAGCGGCGTCGCGCAAATCTTCGCCAATCGCATCGATCCTTGCCTTCAGCGTGTCAATCTCTCGAGCCAGGTTGCCACTCGTCTTCTTCTCTCTGTCGGCGCGGCGCCAGTCTTCATGCTTTGAGTACCAAGCCCAAAACTGGGCCCAAACGCCGAGGCACAAGGTGATGGCGGCGAGCGTCCAGGTCGCGGCGGTGAAGCCCTTGGTGAATGGGTGAACGAGCGCAGGCGATGCGACAAGATCCATTGAGATAGGAGCCATCGCGACAGTGGAGGGATGGTCGTGATGGGAGCGGAAGACTGGTCTGGAAAAGATTGGGTTGTTGAAGTTGCGGTGGTGAAGTCAGAGGAAGAGTCAGGTTGGTGGTGAGTTTGGAGAATCGAAGCATGTTCATAGGTGCCTACATGTGTGAGAATGGATTGCCAGGTGGTGGCATCTGCCGCAGTTGCTGCCGGGTTATGGCTTCTGCTGCAGTTTCTGCCAGGTAGTGGCTTCTGTCGCAGCTGCTGCCAGGGGATGGCTTCTGCTACAGTTGCTGCTAACAAGGAGCTTCCGCTGCATTCATTGCTTACTATACAATGAAACGGCTTCGTAAGTGAAGATAACATAGTTATTGAAGGTGCGTACTATCTCTTGCTGAAGACAGATGAAAGCGTATATGGCTTCGATATCTACAGCCTTGCCCGTTCTGTCGTTATGCCACACATGGATGGAATCTCATGCGGGTTGAGTGGTCTGAAGGTATAGCGTTTTTTTGGTCTTGTTCTTGATGTAGTTTGGATACCATAGCACTGCGACTAAGAACGATAGCGTTGTCATGCCTGATACTGCATACTGCTATATTTTCTAGTATTTAACATATGAATTGTCTCTGGAACCCTGACCTGGAGATAGCCACCGGGCTGGAAGCTCCGCTGCTCTTAGGAGACTGTGCGAGAACCAAAGTTATGCATATGGTGAGTGAAATGAGACATCATTGGATCAAAGGAAACTACTGGCTTAGTGAAGTCGAGGCGAGTGGTCTAATGAGAAAACTGACATAGCCATATATTCAATCTCGAATGTTTCATGATCACATAAGTGGTTCACGATGGGAACTGAATAGATAAAGGCCAAGGATATGCTTCCCGGCACCTCAAACTACAAGTCTCCAGAGATCATCACATGGTCATCTCCCTCAGTTACTAAGAATCCCATTCTGGTCACCAGATTAGCAATGCCTCACCTATAGCGCTGCGGGTCCGAGGATCAGTATTCTTGCTTCGGTTCGCGGTACCCTAGATAGGATGTACAATCCATTTATACGGGCGACAATGACGGGCGATTCGACGTCTTTTGTCAGACTCTGCTGAGAGAATTCTTCAGGTGTTCCTTCCGCTAGTTATTTGGTTTTTTTAGCTTTACTCAATATCATCAGATAGATCAAAGCCATACAGTAATCTCAAACAGTAGGAATAAACAATAAGTGGTACACCCAGCACCAGAAGAAACAGTAGCTGAACAATAAGGTTGTTGCCTACCGGTCTCGGCCTGAAGCTTCCATTCAACCCCTCTGACTTCAACCCTGCTGTCTGCAGTCAACGACCTTGAGATAGTAACCTTAGGTCGGGTCGTGGGAGTTTTCAGTGCATTCATCAAGGTTAGAGTCGAAAAAGTTAGACAGGATTCCGGCAGAGAAGAAAAAAGCAGCTTGAAACCCAAAACTTGGGCCTTGGCAACTGTGACGTGCGCGCAACGAAAATGCAGTAAATTCAAACACTAGGTTCCCTCATCGAGGGGTTGGTCATCATATAGTATCAATTTTTTAAAACACTTAATTTGTACATCTTAATGTGTTATTTCGACACAGTGGAAGTAACTTGCATACCTTGATGGCGCAGACCGCATTATACACATGACCTACCTGGATCACTTGTATACCCTCCTTTTTAAAAATCTTATCGACAACTGCTCAAAATGCCAAGGTTAACAACAAGTGACCTTCTAGTCCATCGAGGTGACCAAGTTGGTTGCACAAAACCAAAAAGAAAAACACAGCTCCATTCCACTATTCAAGCTTTTCCAGACCAAAATGCTTCCACAGTCACTAAAACGAAGCTTTTCTTGCTTTTCCAACATGGGAAACTCAAATTTCCATGAGTATATAAGCTGCTACCCTGCCCAAGGAACCGAATGTTCAAGGTTACCTTTCGTGGTCATTTTCCAAGCTCTTCGACCTTTGAACCACAGAGGCCCCCCCCGGCCCCCCCCTCCTTCCACCGAGTCACTGGCTACAACTTCCAGATACATTGGGTTTTGATATATGTGAGCCTGCCATGTTTCGGGAATTTCTACGACGGAGATTGCGCCGGCGTTGGGCTCGAATCCCAGAGACCAACAAAGACGATATCGGAACATATTTATTAGCCGAGTCTCAGACTGTAGATGACACGAATGGATTGTCATCCAGCTACGACAGCATGACGCCGCCTACTCAAACGACCGAAACCTGTTCAGTGTTTCCAACAGAAGTCCTCTCGGACGGTTGCGTCTCACACGGCTCGTCCTCAACTGGGAGCTCCGACGCCCTTAGTGCCGATTCTAAAAAGCCAGATGGTGTTTGCTTCGCCAAGTACTGCGACTCATGCCAAGAGGCTCGCATGTCCTCTGACTATGCTGAAAGAATCCTCAATCTTATGAAACCGCTCTATTGCATAGCATGCCGAAAAGAACGACCCTCGATCCTATTTTCCTACTCGTCACGGAGAGAATCATCGGCAATACGGGTCTGCATCGGTCACCAAGGATACCGGCCTATTTGTCCCCATTTAAAAGTCTCATTTGCAGATATTGAAAGGTGGATGATGGAAGGCAAGGAGATTGAAATCACCTGTCACGAGGCAAATTGTCTAGCTTCCACAGCTACTGTTTGTTATTGGACCTCACATCAAGAAACCAAACTCAAGTGGACTGTTACACTAGATCGACGCTTCTCAAAGGCTATAGTCTGGGACGACTGCCGCACTAAACTGAAAGAATTACACCAGTCTTTCCCTGCTTTTCTTTGTCCTCATTTCCAAACCACACCAGATCGTCTCTATTACCCGGAACATTTCGAACGAAGCTCGTTGGCCACGTGTAGCGCGTGCCGGAATCTCATTTGTCTTCGCCAGGTGGGCGAAGTAGACCGAATCGAGAGCAACTGGTTTCTGGTTTCTGGTGCAAGCTCAATGGAAAGACTGTTTAAGGAGTGGATTGAGGCTCTTGATCCAGACAGCTATGGGCATTTTGACGATCAGGATACCAAGTGCCTTACCTGGTGTGATAATCGCTATTGTATTACAACCTGCCAGCTGCTGCACTTCTCTATATTGACCTCATTTCCAGCAATACACAGCATATCTGATTGTCATGCAGAAGAAGGTAGAGAAGTAGTAAGCCATCTCAACTGGAAGGTTAAAAATAGAATCAACTAGTTGAAATAGAATTATTTATAGAGAGGCAACTAACTAATATAATAGTTACCAGTTTTCCAAAGCTAATTAAGTGATAGCATAGTATATCATGTATTCCGGTCTAGTGACTGTCCCAAGCAGCTAGCTCGACAGTCACAACTACGAACTGCTAGCTCATTATATAGTGGTCGACGGTGGATTATCGGCGCCGCGGTGACGTTTTACTTTCGTTACTCTTGTCGAGGGGCTGTTGAGCATTCTGTTGTTGCTCCTTAATGCAACCCTATTGTTGCGCTTCTGACCAGCACCTGGCCATTTGGTGAGTCTACTTGAATGTTGCTGTGGTTGGGGTTTCAGCTTGGCACGCGCTCTATGTAACTGTTATTCCTGGGTTTCTTGTGCTTCCTTCTCAATCAATAATTGTACTTTGCTCTTTATTGCCTTGCTCTCAGCTGGGTTTGTCATCTAGTTGCTCTCAACTGGGTTCTCAACTAGACTCTCAACTGGGCTTGGTATATAGTTTCTCTCCCAGTGCCTCTTCTTTATGTCCTGCTCTTGCTGAGCAGCTACAGTCTGTAGATACTCAGCTTTAGGCTTCTAGTACCTTTGGTTCTTGATCTCGAGTTGCATATTGTTGACTTGTTGCTGAGAGCGTCCGCGACTCTTGAGGCATTCTCTTAATGCTGCTAAGACTTTACGTCCCGCACTTAGGTCTGACAGCCTACCAGCTGGATCTAACACACCGGCCCTTCCCGTGGTTTCGGCGACAACGGATGGATTTTTGTGATTTCGTTTCGGTGATGACTGGTAGAAAAGGGCAAGCTGGTGATGCTTTGACAAGACTGATATCCCATGACATCTTCCTTAACGCGTCTGTCACGTGTTACTAAGCCAGATTTGCCGTGGTTTACCCGGTGGGATGAATTACTGTTGGTGCAGATCCGACCGGAGGACCCGAGCTTACCCGAGCTTATCCGCCTTCCCGAATTGCACCTGATTTGTAAGGCAACAGCCGACATCGCTGATCACGGCGCAGACAGCGGCTTCTTCCCCTACTACTACTTAGTAATGCACGATGGAAGTGCGCCGCATTTCCACTTCTGCACTAATCGCAGTCTTTAAATCTCTATCCCTCATTTCGTTTCCAGATATGCAGCGCACTTCCATCGTGCATTACTGGGTAAGCTACTAGAAGGGAATGAAGGTTTGCTGAAGGAGGTGGGCAGCGATACGGCCGAGGATTAGCCGGCCGTCTATCTACTGAATCTATATCACGTCAGATCTCAGGCGGCCCCCTCCTCCGGTTTGTGTGAATCAAAGGCAGAGTAAGGAGGCAGGGTTTGGGCCTTGTGTTTGTGCGGGCTGGCGGGGGCTTATGACCGAACCGTTTGGTGGCTCTGGTCAGTTCTTGGCCTGCGCTCAACCCCGGTGTGTTGGTGGCTGTGGTCAGTCTTTGGCCTGTGTTCAACCCCAGCGTGTTGGTGGCCCCGGTCAATCTTTGGCCTGTGTTCAAACCCAGTGCGTTAGTGGCCCCGGTCAGTCTTCTCTCCCTGCATTCAAAACCCGACGTGTCGGTAGCCCTAGACTTACTTGACGGCAGGCAACTCACCAAACGTCAAGTCCCTGTGAGACAGCACGTAGTTAGTGCGAGGGCCTCATCCGAAACAGAAGAAAGACCAGAGCCTCATCCGAAACAAAAAGTGGGGAAAACACGATGCCCCGATTCCCCGATGTCATGTCCCTAATGTCACGTCCCCGATGGCGCCAACAACAATATCAAAAGGGAAAGTAAAATCAATAGCGGCATTCCACCAACAGTCTGATTCACGTTTCACTTTCGCCTTGCCCTCCTGCCCCCCTGTCAGTACTACCCTGCCTACCTTACGCAAGCGCCGTTCGGTTCTACCGGCCGATCTCGTGCTTGGCGCCATCGGCGGCAGATTGTGCGTAGCAGCCGATGCAACAACGCTACGGTGATCTAGCGCCCCCCCTCCCCCCTCCCCCAGATCCGATGGGTGGAGCAGGCAAAACGCTTCCTGCAGCTGCTAGTGGTTGCTAGTGGCTGCAAACGCACAGTTTCAGGGGACAGTATCCGATCCGGGCTGATCTGAGCAAAGTCTGAGGTGGAGTCTGAGCTAGGGTCTTGAGCTAGAGTCTGCGCTAGAGCCTGACTCTAAACTGAGACTTGTTTGCTGCCACGTCCAATGCAACCTCTCACAAAAGCCTGACGCATCCAACATCTCGGCACATACCAGTCTGAGCGGTGCATGATGGGCGCGTAGGGCGCAAGGTCGGGGAAATCACGTCCACTTCCACGAGTCAGTTTCCACATTTGCGCGGCCGCAATCACCCTCATCGAAGTTTCCATTAGGTGTACAGGGTAGCAGGAGCTACTTTAACTCTAACCAGCCACTTACGGGCTAGGTCATTTATCTTCTATTATTGGTCGGTCAGTCTTCTCAATAGTCTTCCCGATGGACCTCCTTCTCAGAACCCTCCTAGAAGCTATTGCGCGTTTGGCGCCCTCCTCGTGTTGGTGCCATGACGCCCGCCCGCATGCACGCACGCACGTTGGTCGATGATCCTTCCTGCAGCCCGTAATTAGTCAAGTGGCGTTGGCGTTGGCGCAAGATGGATGGGTGAATCTGCCAAAAGCGGAGTTTCGTTGGCGGGCTCCACCTCCACTGTGTTTCACTTCACACACACTGTGTACTACGATATAGGGCTGAATTGTGTGTTGGTTGGTGCCCGCATTCTTCTTTGCGATGGGAAGGCCCGTGATCCCACCACCATTTCGGAGTTGGCTTTTCTCCGCCAAGCCCCCCTCCAACTTTGGGGTGTTCTAGCTTCTCAACGCCTACACTTACTCCTCCTGGTATGAAATCTTATGTATCTAGCTCAGTCTGTGCTGTGCGGCTGAAAGTGAATTCTCCAATTGGAGAATCTCAATCTGTCACGCTGGATCAGTTTTGTCTTGGTAGAACCACCTCCAACTCAGACTTTTGCTCAGATCAGCCCCCCGGATCGGATACTGCCCCCCCTGATACTGTGCGTTGCAGCCACTAGCAGCTTGCAGGAAAGCGTTTTTGCCTGCTCCACCACCCATTGGATCAGCTCTAGATCGGATACTTGTCCCCCCCCTGATACTGTGTGCGTTTGCAGCCACTAGCAGCTGCAGGAAAGCATTTTTGCCTGCTCCACCACCCATCAGATCTAGGGGGTCACCCACCTCATAGCATTGTTGCATCAGCTGCTTCGTACATCTCGCTGGCTTCACTCTAGCTGACCTCACTGCAGGCACCAACCAACACACAATCAGCCCAGTGGCTTTGGGCGTAGTGCAGTGGACTCAGTGGAGGTGGAGCCGCACCAGTGCCAACGACTCTGCTTTTGGCAGATTCACCATCCATCTTCGCGCCAAACGCCAACGCCAACGCCATGTGACTAATCACGGGGCTGCAGGAAGGATCATCGACCAATATGCGTGCGTGCGTGCATGCGGGGGCGGGCGTCATGGCACCCAACACGAGGAGGGGCGCCAAACGCACAATAGCTTCTGGGAGGGGTCTGAGAAAGGGAGGCAGGCCATCGAGAAAGACTATCGAGAAGGCTGACCGACCAACAATGGAAGCATGACCTAGCCGTAAAGTGGCTGGAATAGGAGATTCCTATTTGTGCATGGGCTGACTGGCATCTTTAGCGGTACTTCGGGCGAGTTATGCCAGCCGATGTATCTTTTTCCAAAAATCCGGATTACGATAATCTTCTTGCCGATCGGACCCTCAATAGCATCGACAAAGAAGAGACAATTGAGTGTATTAACAAAGTATGCATTCTTGAGCGCCCCCCTACGCGAAATCTCCTACTCATCTTCCCTCTCACTGACTAGTTCGACATCATACCCGTGTGCCCGTATGTCCTCCAGAAGCCACTCTATCGGAGTGGCAAATGTTGTATCGCAGGCTAGATTGAAGAATTTACTGCCGGATGTCAACATACCACCAATGCGTCCTTGGCGATCCCAAATGCAAGAGCCAGAGTCGCCATAATCGGAAAATGGAATCCTCTTGCCCTCTCGATCTCTCTTCTGACCCAAGATACACCACTCCTCGGACAACACCTGGATCTTATCAATAGGCTGTCGCTTGACTGATGTAACATTATTCGCAAGGCCAATCGTGAACTGGGTTGACCTTCCGTGTTTGGCCACCAAGATGGCTGGCTCATCCAGGGACCGAGACTCTTGGCGAGGTCGCTTTAGCTCCCCCTCTGGGATGGTGCCCTGCAGCTCCACGGCGTGTTTGAAGAGGTTGATAAACGCCCGGTGAGTGACCTGTAGATTTTCTGCCCCCAGTGCTGTGGAGAACTCATTCATCGCCATTGCCGGAACGGTTACTTCATTCCTGAGCTTTTCCAGGGGAGAGGCATGCTTGTCTGGGTGCAATTCGATTAGCGCCCAGTCTCTTAGTCGGTGGGCGGTCCATTCATCCGTGCCAAGGGTCCCAGTGCTGTACTTGGGCGAGAATAACACATGCCCGATGATGCGAGTGCTTGGCTCGTCGAGCTCATTGAGCCTCCTCATTGTCTCCTTACCACTAGACAGAGTGGCCAAGTGTAATGCCACTTGGGGAGCTTTCTCATCCGGGTTCATGCGCGGATGATCTTCCAAGAACTTAATAGCCGCTTCGATATCCTCGAAATTACTGGAAATATCCCTCTTCGCAATTTCAAGAGTGCTGTTGCCAGGCTGTATAACTGTGATCCTGGACTCGACATTTGACTCGTCATAAGTATAGTCCTCGTTGGGGGCTTCGTCAGGGATGACAACGTGTCTGCAGGTCAACGCTAGCACCTGTCCAGTATCTTTTCGACGTAGGTAGAGGCACTTTGTGCCCTCGCGAGTTGGGCGGTCAAATGTAGCAATGGAATGCCCAAGGTAGGTCGAAAAGAGTCCGTTGATTTCGACGGGCATTTCAACCCCACCCGAGTGCAGTTTCGGGGCGGACAGGGGGGCAGTAGGCGGCGAGGCGTGGGGGAATACTTGTGCTTCCTTCATCTCGCAGTGGACATCGGAGATACCATGCTGCTGAAGGATCTCGCGACATTGCATCACGACTGCATGGCCTTGTTCCCATGGTGTGGAATCTGTCTTGACTGAAATGAGCAGTGTGACGGGGTGCTCTGGCTCCTCGGTCTCAGTGCTCATTTTGCGCGTATATCCCAGGCGCAGGACATCAATGACGGTCCATTCGACTCCATCGAGCGCCAGAACAATGTCGCGTCGGAGCGGCCCGTCTGTGTTCCATAACCCGACAATAGGGTGCCGCCCAACGGGGTTGAGTAGCTTGCCGACGGGAAATTGGGTCGCAAAGTCGAATTTATCGACCCAAGGATCTGTGCTCGATCGAGCCACAAGCTTCGGTCTGCTGGGCAAGCCGTAATAGTACGACACCTGTTCTTCGAAGCTGGGGGGAGCCGCAACGTGGACGTCGTGCTGGGCCATCGGGGGTTCGCAAAGAGCCTCGAGAGACTCCAAGAATGACTTGTGTGTCACTGGGGCGCTCTTGGCTCTTCTGTGCAATATACTTGGCACTCGCTTTTGTACCCTGTACTTGGTGGGCAATGGCAGTACTTGGCGGGAGCGGGATGGTTGGGGAGAATCGTTCGTAGAGGGGGGCACCATGGTCTTAAGTGCTATTCAAATACGCCACGTCAGCAAAGTTTTCGCAGATGTCCGGGTTATCCAAACCTTATAGTGACTCACAAGCGAAGCCGATCATGTGTTGTGTGTGTGCTCGGGACTAAGCCACCTGAAGGTAGGCTGGGCCACCAGGCGGTAGGCCCCGACGAGGGAATGGAAATCGTTCGGCGACAGCGACGACGGACGTTCAGACGGGCAATTCGGCCACCAGGCGGTAGGTCGACACCAAAGAGAACGGAGAATACAGCGCGGAAAATTGATCAAACACGCAGGGAATGGAGTGCGAGCAAGCCGCAAAAACGACGTTACCGAGTGAGTGTGAAGAGATCAGAATCACCATTCCCAAACTGAATATGGCAGTAAGTTTGGCTGTCGTCCATAGACAGTTGGCTGGGAAGGCACAAATCGAAATATGGCAGGAAGTTTGGCTGTCGTCATGGACAGTTGGCGGGAAGGCACAATTCCAAATATGGACGGCTAGCCGGGTAGGCGCATCTATTCTGCTGGGTGAGATGGGAAGCACTTTTACTACTAAATAACTGCCCTTGGTATGGAACGCTTGCATAAGATGTATTTTCTGATGTGTACGGGTCTGACTGGGTGCTTGCGTCTTCTGCATTCTACATATTCGGGCCGGCGGAGGATGAGATGTTACTTCTATCAGTCAGAGGATGGATTGGTTGAGACCGCTTTAGTGACGATGGATGATCTTGTCTTTGAGTCTAGGAAGGAAGAAAGCTCGCTATTTTTACCTAGGGATCTGTCTGATCCAGATGCCCTTGATCCGATGATGCCGTTGATATCCGAAGATCTAGGTTGTTGAGGGCATCTAGGTTCGAAGGGATCCACGGTACGGATTCGGTCCTATACAAAGCTGACTCTTCCTATCAGGGTGTCTGACATCGGGCTGTCGGGCTGTAGATGGGGTGGCTAATATACCACGGCGACCTTGACGACACCTCGCGGAATAGGCAATCTGAGACTATGGTAGCGCAACGGTGGAGTAATTGCGGCTACATCGGCGTTCGGCCTTGGGGTCGCCCTTCTTAAGGTCGCGGTTAGGGTCGGGGTCGGTGGTTGCTGTTGTGTTTGCGGTTGCGGTCGGGGCTATCATCGTTGTCGTTGTCGCTGGTCGTCCACGTCCACGAGGGCACAGGCAGCAGCAGAGACGGCCAAGGAAGCGGCAGACGGCAAAGAACGGGGCCAAGACCCAGGTCGAGATGGGGATCCACCCCGAGACGAAGGCCCATCAGGGTGGGAGACGGTCGCAAAGAAAGGCCCAAAGAGCCCTGCTCGGTGAAGAGCGAGGAAGCCAGAGAGACGAGGAAAGCCGCCCAGAGGGCAGCCAGACTGACTGAGGGAGACGTAGAGGAGGCGGGTGTGATACGACAAAAGGCGGGGTCTCAATTGGAAGAGGAAAAAAGGGTTCTTGTCAATTTTCTGGTAGGCCCAACGCCTTAAGTAGGACCATAATGAAGCTAGCTAATGATCCTTACTGTATCAGAACTCCGGTAGACCGTTGGCCCCTGACACAGGATCAGTATTCCCATGGATCTTAGCTGTGTATGCTGAGATTGCTGGAAGGAATCAGCAGTGCTGACCTCGATACCGAGGAGGCCGCTGCGAAGAGGGCCTGGCTGTAGGGCAGCCATGCGCTGCTGGATCAAACCTTCGAGGAACGTTTTGGTGGCTCTGTAAGGTGAAACCACCACAAACTTGAGGCCAACATTGGCTTTCATAAGTGATTCCATTAGCGAAAGAGCGATTCGAGCCTGCCCGTTATTGATTCGTGAGCTGTCAATAACATTCACAGACGTATGCGCGCAATTAATAAACGCCGGCCAGACTTTACCGGGCGGGGAGGCCTTAACGGCTGGAAAACAATCGCGGAGCCAACTTTCAACTCGAGAGGCCCCCGGGTGCTTCAACAACGCACATTGGCTGCCGTATTCGAATTTTTCCCCGAGCTCCGGATAAAAGATCTCCCTCGCAAGATCGAAGCCTCCTTGGACGATTCTGTTCTGGCGTCTCGAACTCCAGCAAGGCCACTGCATGCGCATGAAGCGCTCTAGTACAGGCATCTCCTGGTGCTTCTCAAAGAAGTTGAGCACTTCCCTCCTACATCTAACTTCCTTAGCTGCTAATGTTAAGGATTTGGCCACCCACACACCTAATCTGCTAACACCCACCCGATCACCCTACCTTCCTTGCGATGGCCTTCGTGCCAGACGCCCCCATCCCCATTCCCCTATATAGCACTACTAGATCAACATAAAGCCGAGTGATTGAATTCAGACTTCTGCTCGCTATTCCTCCGACTTCGTCCTAAAAGCCCCTTACCCCATCATCACTCTCCCGGCACACTCGTCAGTCTAAAGCTGCATGTCAAAATCCTTAAACGGACATTGCTAAAGCATCGCAGGCCGTTTATAAACACGACAAGCCGACCTCCGCAAGGGCAATCCCGAGTTTCCGCAATAGCTGGACACAAGTGCCGACCCAGCTCGCCTCCTGACATGCACCCTCGAAGGGAGACCATCGAGCTTTGGGGATCAGACAGAAAGAATGGCTGCATGAACGAGCACTCGGAGCCTCACGGTCATCAGACGGCGATGGACACTATGATGTGGTGGCATCTTGGACAGGGCACCGCTGCGCTGCTCGGTCCTGTCAAGAGTGGCTCGCGCCCCAGAATGTCGATTGTGAGATGTGGGAGCCGTGCTAGGCCAACTGGGATCGCTTCCTGGCTTCTGTACGCCTCTCCCCAGGCGCATTGTGATTCGATTTCTGACGAGTTGGCCAGCCGAATAGATTGCCGAGCAGAGATGCATGCTCGGGGTCCCAAACCTACCCAGACGGAGCTCCCACCGACAGCCGGTACTCAGCGACGGAGGCATCGTGGGCGGAGCAGGAACTCAATGCTCGTTTCTGGTGTTACTGTCCCAGGCTTTTCATTAGGGTATACAATACCAAATGGGTAGAAAGGAGCCAAGCCCATATATGGATCGACTCGCTGATATTGGTTTGGAGTGCGGCACCTACGGCAGCCAAAATGAAATTGGCGACGAGATAGTGTCGGCCATATTTCAAATAATGCAGGTAAGCAATATGCAGCGTCTCCAACTGGAAATAGCTCACAAAACAATACAGATAAGGCAATACTACCAATCTCCTCTAGCTATCTCGATAAAATGCCTATAGAAGGTGAACTCGAGCTTACTGTATACAGAAACAATCAAGAGGCGCTTAGCGGAATACTTAATAAATAGAGTATTGCTATTCGTACAACCTTGTTTTGCTAATCGTACAATCTTTTGTATCTTCCCTGCATCACACCAAATTTACAGTGTAAGTTGGGGAACGCCCTAAATTACAGGGCAAAATCTCCTGCAGCCGGCTAACCTTTAGGCACCGGCGCCGACCAAAAGCTTACCAACGCACACCAACGCAACTATCACAGCTTTCAACACCACGCTTTCTTTGCTTTGGCACCTCCCTTTCTTCTGCGATCGCTATAGCTGAGCTTCCAGGGGACCTTGATGCTGCTGGCGACAGTCCGATACCAGTTCCTCCGCTGTCAGCGTCCTACAACTCATTTGACGACCTCTTCAGCTTCCTCCAGACGTTCTGCCGCGACAACGGTGCCGCCCTCATCAAGAAGTCAAGTGCTAAGAAGCAGGAAGTCAACGGAGCCCTCATTCCGACCTACGTTATCCTCATCTGCGACCGCGGAAACGGTCGCCCTTCCGTTGCCACTGGCCTCCGACAGACAGCCACTGTGAAGACCGACTGCCCGTTCACAATCACCGCAAAACCCTCTAAGAAGCTCAACTAGAAATGGATCTACGAAGTGGTCAACTGTCAGCGCAATCACAGTCCCTCTGACGACCCGTCGGCACACGTTACGCACCGTAAGCGGACCCTACAGCAACATCAGCTCGAAAATTCACTTTCCAAGCATCGATCCCTTGCTGCCCGTGAGATGGGCGAGATCCTTCGAGACATGCCCAATCAGCCGTCCTTCTTCAAACAAAAAGACATCTACAATGACCGTCAGAAGCTGAAGCAGTCATCCCTTGGAGGTCTGACGGCGACTCAGGCTTGGATCGGCCAGCTGAGGTCATACAACCTCAAGTACATCGTCAAATATGATGCCGAGGATAAGGTTGAAGCTGTTTTTTGGACTTATCCGTGGTGTGAGCTGATGTGGAAGCGATTTCCTCAGGTCCTTGGTCTTGACAACACATATAAGACCAATAGGTTCAAAATGCATCTCTTCCAAGTGACCGGCATCACGGATCAGAAGTCTGTTGTGAACTTCGGCTTTGGCCTTATCAACACTGAGAAGGAGGAGGGCTTCTTGTGGCTCTGTCAGCAACTTAACAGCTTCCGGCAGACTTTACACGTTGCAGCGCCTTCTGTTGTCATCACTGACAAGGAAATGGCACTGGAAAACACCCTTTCTTGTGTTTTTCCGGACGCACAGCAGCAACTCTGCGTTTTCCACATCAACGCCAATATCAGTGCGAAAATCACGAGCTGCTGGAAGGACCCTACTTCTACTGACGGTGACGATACTGATGATGACACTGACCGAGACGAGGCATCTGCAGATGACAATACAACTGCTGCCTGGACTGCTACACAACGTGAGCTTGAGGGCGAGGGCGAGGGCATCGCCACACCACAGGCACTGGAGATCTCTTCCATCTTCACTCAGCTATTATGCTGATGCTAGAGCGAAAGGAGCGTGATTGGAGCGTGATTACAACCAAAAGGCAGCTGAGATGATGATGAGGCAGCGGCGTAAGTACATCGGGCGGGAATGGCTTGGTGAGTTACCTATACAAATCTCCTATGCTGTTGTCGATCTTCTTGCTGGGCAGTATCGATTTGCAGCTGCAGCTATTCCCTCGAGACCGCAGCCCGAGCCGCTGCGTGTGTGTACAGGCAACTTTACACAGCAATACGGGCTTTCCTGCAGTCACAATATCTTTAGAGCCTGAGTTGCTGAGGAGTCATTGAAGAAGGAAGCTATTCACCCGCGCTGGTGGCTTTAGAAGCCCTTGGTAGGAATATCCTGTATTTCTATGTGACTTTTGCTGACTTTTACCTCTAGGACCTCGAAGAGCTACTGCTACACATCCGCGACCCCGATGTCGTGGCCAACCTTTGCGGCCAGCCCCGACTTCCTGTCAATAAGAAGCTTACGATCCCGAATGCCCTCACCGCGACCCCTAATATGACCTCGACCGCAGCTTCTATCGCGACCTCGACCGCGATCCCTACCCAAAGGCCCCCAAGGCAGCCCCGTCAGAACCCGGCAGTCAACCCGGCAATTGAACCTAAGTGTGCGCCGCACCCTCTCACAGGCAGAGATAGAGACGCAGAGCAGTCAGCCGTCCCGACGGCTGTCGACGCCGAGATCACGGGGCCCTACAAACAGCAGAGGCAGGGGAACCAGGGCAGGACGAGGCAGGGGCAGAGGAGGCAGCGTCAGCATCAGCAGCATCAGCAGCGCCGCCATCATCAGCCGTAGAGGAAGTCATCCCGGCTACGCAGCCGGGGCCCTCGCAACAGCCCTCACAGCAGCCCTCGCGGCCTCACACACAGCTGCAGTGGCAGCCGCAGTGGCAGCCGCCGGAATAACAGCCGGACCGGGCTCAAAGTTGCGAACTTTTCGGGGAAACTACGGAGATGTGTGTTTTTTTTTTAACGATTTGGCTGCCGCCGGGCTGAAGCCGGGCTTGAAGGTCGATGTGTTATGTTGATAGCTGTAGAATTCACTCATTGTTCATTACGTTCCCTGACTTACACTGTAAATTTGGTGTGATAGGGGGAAGATACAAAATGCAGGGCGAAAAAAATGGGGTCACGTGGGAAAGATTGTACGATTAGCAAGACTCAACACTCTAGCTTTGCTACATTAGAGCAGTGATTCACTCTAACTTTGTCACATTAGACTCTGCCTTGGTGCCTACAAGGTGCATGCGTGCAGTCAAACTTTTTCCTTTTCTCCTCCATCGCCAACGCACCTTCTTCTTCCCACAACATATCGCGCCGCGCCCAGATTCCTCTTCTCTTCTTCCTCCACACTCGCCTTTCCTCGTCCCCATTCTCTCGTCTGACATCTCGAGCGGAAGCAGACCTACCATGAGCACCGACGAGACCAGCAAGGGCGAGGGCGAGGGCGAGACACAGTCACAGCGTCTCCACCGGCTGCTAGATGCATTTCTGAGCAAGCCAGACCAAGATGAGAGGGTCATCCATGCCGTTAAGAGCTCGCTCAAGATGGACCTCCCGTTTGAAAAGCCTAGAAACTTGTTGCCCCTGGATGAGGCAGAAATTCGGCGCCATCATGCCATCAAGATTGAGTCGCACATACGCACCTACGACCCAAATTTCCAAATCAATGCCGTCCAGCTCGCTATAATATTGCTCGTCCCTCTTTCAGTTCTGAAACGCCATGGCTACCTTTCGCATCAAACTGTAACAGCAATCGGACTATATGATCGTCTGGAAAGCATACCATCGCTAACAAAGCACTGTAAGTACTGCTTCCCTATTCATGCCTTGTGGCGCAGGGAAACTAATGCCTGCTTGTCTCTTTCAGTTCTACAAAAGAAATGGACCAACGACGAATACACTCGCCTGTCCAAAGCGCGCCAATTGAATACAACAAGCAGCAAGAAGTCAAGCAACAAGAAGTCAAGCAGCAAGAGGCCAAGGCCATCTGCATCCTCGCGTTTGGAGGACGACGACGGAGAGTATCTACCGAACGACCAAAGCAGGAACAAAACCGAGAAAAAGCTTTGCCTTGAAAGAGACGGGGATGCCTGTGTGGTGATGGGGACTAGCAACCCTGAAGCATGCCATATTGTTCCCTTCGCCTGGAACAAAAGCCACACAGCTTTGCGCAAGACGTCAATGGTCTACGATTACGGCAGAGCTTTCTTTGATGGAGAGTGGCTTGTAACTCATGAGAAACATCTGGCGAACCCCAACAATCCAGGCTCCTCAGATAAGGCCTGGAATATGATTTGCCTCAACCACCAACTCCATGCTTGGTGGAGTAGTGCTCGACTTGGCTTCAAGTGCCTTGGCATCACGCCTAGCACCAAGGATCAGTCGAAATCTACCGTCAATCTGCAGTTCTATTGGATGCCACGACAAGACTTGAAACCGACCGCCAAGATGACCCTCGAAGGGGACCACAACAACTTTGACGCTATGGCGGATAGCGCTACTATGTTCCCTCAAGGCGGAATGCCTCCTGTATCCGGCAAGCTGGGCGCGTCGCACATCGACGCCCACATCCCTATTCTGTCCGGGCACCTCATCGATATTCAAATGCCGACCGCAGACGCTGCTCTCTTCAAGGCCATGATCGATTATCAATGGGCTCTCATTTGTGTGGCGGCTCTTTCCGGCGCTGCTGAAGCACCTGAGCTACTGCCTGACCACCCGGGCTGGGGTGATCCAGACCTAAGAACTGCAGAGTGGGTTGAAGCGCAGGAGGAGTTTGCCACAGTGCCCCCAGAACCACCAGCCCCCGAGCAACAAGAGACCCTCATGGGGCCTGAAGAGAAACAAGAGGACCTACCTCTCAGCTTTACTACAAACTTGCCCTTCCCCCATCAAGCTCCCGGTTCGAAGGTGCTAAGTACCGATACATCTCCCACTAAGTTGAGTCAGAGAACTGAGCAAGCTCCCGCCCAGGGGCAAGCACCCAAGCGAAGCCGTCTTACTGAGAACATGCCTCCGGATGCTTCTCGCCGTGGTTGAGGTCACTGTGGATCCACAATGCGCGCCAAGATGTCAAATTCGGACCATGCCAAATCGGGCGATGCGGCACAGTTACTTAGTTTACAGTAACATCGAGGAGGATCTGGGAGCCCAGGAGAACCAAGAAGATACTCTTATTGAGGGTGACGCTTGGGGCACCCAAGCTGGTGGTGCTCAGGATGGTAGTGCTGGTGGTGATGGAGATGGAGGAGAATGGTAATCATTACCTGTCTTTATTTTTGCGATGGGCTATGGTAATCAACACCTGCCTTGTATATGCTTTTTGATTTTCGGTTTTTTTTTGGTGTTGAGGATGCCGCGATTTTCTGGACGGGTGCATAGACATCCCTCCACACACACCTTGCTAGATACCCTCCTTTCGGATGATAACTTAGGTATCTAGCTATTGTATGACTTTACTGTACCCTCTTTCCTCTCTCTGCTCTCTGTGACTGTGTCGTTATAATATTGTCAAGAGTGTTGTGTGGGCTGACCTAGGTACTCTCGTCGACTTTCTCTTTTCAACCTTTTTCTCAGCTTTCTCATCCTTAGCTTTCTTCTCAATCTTCTCTTCATCAACTTTCTTCTTCGTACACACGCCCGAGGGTTATAACCTATGTGTCCCTCCGCAGCAAGTTAAACGCCAACCAGCTTAAGCCCACGCCTTCCCGAGACATACTTCTAATACGGGCTCGCGCCATCTCCTTTCTTAATATCTATCGTCAACCGGCTACACTAGAGACCCTTGACTTCCTGGACAGCTGGCCAGTCCCTAGCTGCTGCCTTATCGCTGGGGACTTCAACGCCTCACATACACTCTGGCAGTCAGGACCCCATCGGAACCAATGGGCCCGGATTGCAGCGTGGGTCGAAGACAACGACCTCGCTATACTCAACCAGCTGAACCAACCAACTAATAAATACAATAATATCCTTGATCTTGCGATCTCGAACATCCCTACGGCGCAAGCTAGAGTGGAAGACCACCTCGCGACTAGCTCAGACCATTACACACTCAGTATCTCCCTTCCCATTCAACTAACACCCCCACAAGCCAGCCGGATCCGGCTCCGGATCGAGGACCCCGACGACCTAGCCCGACTGGCAGACTCTATCGCACAGGGGCAGGACTTCCTGCCAACAGCCGCAACAACAGCTGAAGAGCTAGACTTCGCAGCAGCCCAGCTGCTACAGCTACTACAAGATGCAATCAAGGTTATCGGCCGGAGCCCTGAACAGAACGGGCGCTCCGCGCCGTGGTGGACCAAGGACTGCGCAAAGGCACACTCGCAATATCAATCAGCTAAAAGACGGGACCCTGAAGAGGACCTGGGGCCAACAACCCTCGCAAGAGATGACTTCCGTAAGATCGTTAAGAAAGCGAAGATCGACTTCTGGAGGGATATTATTAATAACGCCACAACAAACGCCGACATCTTCCGTATCGCAGGATGGGTCTGTACCCAGAGCGCCTTCCAGCCCCCGCCCCTACAGGTCGGAGATGAGGTCTTCGAGACCCAGATCGGCAAGGCCAATGCCCTTCGCAAAGCTACGCTCGAGAGGCTAGACGCAGGGGATGACATTGAGGACCCGTGGACCCCCCAGGTGCCCGATGCCCCTAGTCTCCTCTTTTCTACGCTGATCTCGGCCGAGGAAGCTAAAGATATAACGATAAAGACTGGGAATATATCTCCCGGCGCAGATAATATAATAACAGCAATTATTTAAGCCTGCTAGCTGGTTATCGGCGAATATATCTGGTAGTTCTATGAGAAATGCCTCTACTTAGGGCACTACCTAAAGGCGTTTAAAGGGCGTAGAGGTTATTATAATCCCAAAGCTAGAAAAGAGAGATCTCTCTTCCTCCCGCTCCTAGAGACCGATTTCCCTCCTATCCTGCCTGGGCAAGGGGCTTAAGAGACTTATCGCAAGGCGCCTGGCCTTTATTGCGATTAATCGGAAGGTCCTGCATAAGAACCAGGCCGGGGCCCTGACGAAGAGGTCCGCTGTAGACCTCATTGCTGCTCTGGTCCATGACATCGAAGCTGCCCTCGCCCGAGGGCTCGTCGCAACCCTTGTAACGATGGACGTACAAGGCGCCTTCAACACAGCCCTCCGGAACCGACTTCTGCTACGCCTTCATTAGCAGGGCTGGCCCGAACTGCTAGTCCGCTGGGTGGCCTCTTTTATGACTGATTGTACAGCCCGAGTTTACTTTTAAGATGCGGTCACGCCTCTCTCTGCCCTAGAATGCAGTCTTCCTTAGGGCTTGCCTATCTCGCCGATCCTTTTCCTACTCTATACAGAGCCGGTCTATAAGATCAGGATTAAGCCGAACTCTTGTCCTGGTTTTAATCCAGTTACTATTATATGCTATAGCTATGCAGATAATATTACCTTACTCTATATTGGAGATATACTTTGCGAGATAGTAGATAAAGCGGAGGTTAATATTAAAGAGATAGATTATTAGGGGCTTTATAATAAGGTTAGCTTTAATATAGTAAAGATTGAGATAATGTACTTTTTATAGAGGTAAGAAGATAGAAGCTTAACTTTAATAATTATATATAAAGATTAAATAAAGATTTTAAAGAAAGCTTTTTACTAGCTAGGTATTTAATTAGATAGAAAGTTATTATTTAAGATATATATAGAAAAATTAAAAAAATTAAATAAAAACTTTAAGTAAAAATTAATAAATAATAATTTTATTATTTAATTTTTTTTTAATATTAAATATATTATATATTATTTATTTTTATTATTTAAATTTTTTTTTTTTTTTTTAGCTTTACTTAATATCATCAGACAAATTAAAGCTATATAGTAATCTTAAATAGTAAAAATAAATAATAAGAGCTATACCCAGCACCAGAAGAAATAGTAGCTAAATAATAAGATTATTACCTACCAGTCTCTACTTAAAGCTTCTATTTAACCCCTCTAACTTCAACCCTATTATCTACAGTTAATAACCTTACTATTTGCAGTTAACAACCTTAAGATAGTAACCTTATTCTAAGCAATAGGATATAAGAGAGACTGATATCTCCTATTATTAAGAGACTAACTTCTCTTTTAATACTTATCTTATTATAACTAATTTTTAATACAGCGAATTTTATTTAAGTAGCTCTTTCCAGGGATAACTTATTATATTTATATTATAGATTCTAACTCTAATATAATATTAGATTCTCTTAGAATTTAGAAGATAAATTAAAAAGATAAAAGCTAAATTTTCTTTTAAATTTTCTTAAGAAAGAAAATCTATTTAAGCTATTACTATACTATTTATAATATCTAAATAGAAGCTAATAGATTATATTAGCTATTTTTAGATATTATTTACTTTTTAATAATAAAATTAGGATTAATAGATAAGAAAATTAAATTCTTATTTATAGTCTTATTTTATATATTTAAATAGAAATAGGTGTATTTTATAACTTAGCTAAAAATATTAATAATTTAATTTAAGAGGTTAAGTTTTTTTTAGGATATTACTGGGCTTAATATAACTTTTAGTTTTAAAAGCTATTATATTATATTAGGTTGGTATAGATACTAGCTATATAGGGTGCTAGTTAGAGGGGAATTTAAATAACTTAGATTTTAAGGTATTTTAGAGGTTAGGTTATAGGAGTTTTTAGTATAATTATTAAGGTTAGATTAAGTTAAAAAAGTTAGATAGAATTCTAATAGAAAAGAAAAAAGCAGCTTAAAATTTAAAACTTGGTTTTAGTAACTGTAATATATATATAATAAAAATATAGTAAATTTAAATACTAGGTTCTCTTATTAAGGAATTTAAAATTATTATATAATTTTAATTTATTTAATAATATTAAATAAAATTAAAGAAATTAAATATATTAAATTATAATTAAAATATTAATTTTATTATTTAGTTTTTTTAGCTTTACTTAATATTATTAAATAAATTAAAGTTATATAATAATTTTAAATAGTAAAAATAAATAATAAAAGTTATATTTAATATTAAACAAAAATAGTAATTAAATAATAAAATTATTACTTATTAATTTTTACTTAAAGTTTCTATTTAATTTTTTTAACTTTAATTTTAGTATTTATAGTTAATAATCTTATTATTTATAGTTAATAATCTTAAAATAATAATCTTATTTTAAGTAATAAAATATAAAAAAAGTTAATATTTTTTATTATTAAAAAACTAAATTTTATTTTAATATTTATTTTATTTTAATAAATATTATTTAAATAACTTATTATTATATTAACTATTATTAATTATAAAATTCTTATTATATATATTTCTATATATTAAAAATATAAATATAAATTTTAATATAATATAAAATTTTATTAAAATTTTTAAGATTAAAAAAAAATATAAGTTAAATAATTATATAAAATTTCTTTAAAAAAAAACCCTTTTAAATTTTTTATTATATTACTTAAAATATCTAAATAAAAATTAAAAATTTATATTAGCTATTTTTAAATATAATCTATTTCTTAATAATAAAAATAAAATTAATTCATAAAAAAGTTAAGTTATTAATATTAATATTATATTTATTTAAATAAAAATAGCTATATTATATAATTTAGTTAATAATATTAAAAATATTAATAATAATAAAAGCTAAAAGCTTTTTATAAAAATTAGCTATAAAAAATATAACTTTTAATTTTAAAAGTTATTATATTATATTAAGTTAATATAAATATTAATTATTTAAAATACTAATTAAAATTTTTTTTAAATAACTTAAATAGAATATTATAAATATTAAAGATTTTAAAGTATTAAATTAAATTATAAAAGTTTTTAATATTTAGTTTTTTTAACTTTATTTAATATTATTAAATAAATTAAAGCTATATAATAATTTTAAATAGTAAAAATAAATAATAAGTAGTATACTTAATATTAAAAGAAATAATAGCTAAATAATAAAATTATTACTTATTAATTTTTACCTAAAGTTTTATTTAAGTTTTTTAAC